ATCTCCCTGCTGCCTGCTCACTGTCCTCATCCTGCCAGCTTCCTGCTCCTGTGCCTCTCCTGCCTTCTGCTGACCACCACTTTCCTTCATACGCATTAACAGTTTGCAAAACTACACCTATACTTTTAGTGTAATGTTCTGTAGCTCTTAACACTAATATTTCCTACTTACTCTTCTTTTACCACCAAAAGAGTGTCTAATGTCTCCATCTTTCCTTTTCCTCATAATGTGTCTGTAAATAAAATCTAATCTATGTTTAACAAAACAGTATCTGGGCTATCAGATGAAGCTTCTAAAAATGTCCATAAATATGAAATTGTGGAGTGCAAAAAGTGAAAAATACTGAGATAATCATTATAGGTCATATCGCCCGCAACTAGTATAAAGCTATTTATCTGGGTAATAAGTAGGAATGGACCATATGACCTAAAATTATCACGGTATTTTTCCCTTTTTGGACGGTGGCGCTTTTATATCACAGTATTACTGTTATGTTGCTCCCTTGTTGTGTCAATATGCAACGCTTTACATTACACACAGACTGACAGAGCTACGCAAACACCAGTTTTGCGCTAATTCGCGCAGTGCTTCCTTTATTGAATACCAGAACACTACAACTTACACATGCACACTTGCTTGCTCCATCTACTGGTAGAAACCTTTAGAACATATATTCAGGTACATACATAACAATTACATTTTTCCAAGCTTCGGGAGGAGTAGCATGTCCTGTCCCTTTATGTACAATTTTAAAATACATTTTATACGTAGACTTTAATCGCTATTATAGTTGGTTGTGGGTGGTCTTACTTTAAAAAAATATAAAAAGTGACATAAGTAATGTTCTCATATTCATTTCATAATAGTCGGAGTAACAACGCAAAGTGAATGACGAAACGTTTCAGCCTAAAACAGTGAATTTTACAGTTAATTTCAAATACAACGCAGAGTTGCTAACTTTAGTCAGTTGGCTGGAGTGAGATTTCGAGATCTGCCTCCAGAGAGGTCTACACACGCGCACACGCATTTACATGCCTGTAACAGTTTTATTAGCTAGTAAATAGTCTGTAGGGGTTGTAAACTACCCCAACGCTCTTTTGATGCAGGTAATTTTAGGTTTATAATGGAATAACATAGCTTGTATTCGCCGTAAGATTTCTTACGTGATCGGAAGTCTGAAAGCGTGAGTGTCACGCCAGATGCCTTAGAGCTGGGGTGTCAAACTGCAGTCCTGGGGGGCCGCAGTCCTGTGTAGCTTAGTTCTTTCCCTGTTCCACCACAAATGATTCAGCTCAACAGCTATGTGGTAATTAGCACAAGAAGTTGAATCAGGTGTGTTAAACGAGGGGAAACCCAAAAATGCGCAGGACTCCGGCCCTCAAGGACTGTAGTCTGACACCTAGCTGTGCCTTAGAGTTTTGTTTCACCTGAGTTGATTTGCATAAAAATAACATTCATTTATACAGTTGTTCAATACACGTAAACTTTGATGAACATGAAATCACCAAAATACGTCCATTTATCTAGCATTTCATAAAATACTTACTGCGTTTGAAAACTTTTCAGCTTTACGATTTCAGGACAGAATAGCCAGCCTGTTAGGAACATTACCGCATTTTGGTTGAGGTTGTTAGATTCCCTGCTGTCATTAGCGCAAACAAAAAGGCTGCATACACCGAAGTACGCCTTCCTAGGAGGCTAAAGGTATTTGACGTGGAGGTATTTGAATGGGAAACGGGCGGTGCCAGTGTTGTCTGGGCAGTTGTGCCGTTTACCAGGGAACTTGCATGAAGGCTGCGGCGCGTATATACTGTATGCTGATTTAGCGTGTATATATATGTTTTCATTTTGAATTTGCTACCATACATAGGCCTATGTGTAACCAGGCTATTATTATTTAATGTGTAGAATTACACATAATCTGTTTGAAATCTGTTTTAGAATTTGTTAATGTGTTATTAAGACACGGCGTCAGAGTATACAGACAAGTCACACAGCGCAGATAAACCGGTTACATATACTATACAAGAATAAAAATTCAGATTACAGCTGAAGCTTGGAAGAAAATAAAATGGTTTATTTTTATTAATTGGCTGTTGACATTTCGCGGTCTTAACGGTATAGTGCAAATCCATATCATAGCGCACAATCACACTGATAACTATAATAACGGTGTACCGCCCAGCCCTAGTAGCAAGTATATATTTGCTCAGAACAAAAGTAATACAATTTAATATTAGGACACCACTATTAGGACTAGCTAATATTAGGACACATGCAAACAAAACCACAATAAAAACTAACAGCAATTTCCATTCTCTGAAAATGCAACTGCAATCTTGTGAGCTGGATGAAGGTCGCCTGACTAAATACAGCCGTTAATGGTTAAGGGCAGTGGTTGAGTCAAAAATGGTTAAGGGAAGTAACCATTTTAACAAGCTCTTATATAGATTGATAATAACAGGAAAAGATTTTTTTCTAATCCAGAATGTCAAAGAAATGCAGTTTAACCTAGAATACAAGCTGAGGCCTGCACCTTGTGGTCTCCATGGCATCACACATTAGGCCTACTGCATTAAGAGTTTCGTACTCGGTGCACCGAGGCACGCCCACAGCAGTCTGCATATCAACACGTGCATGAAACAAGAATCAGGACTGTGGGATGATAATATGGCAAGATTAAAGTTTTTAAATCATACCGATGATCTTGCTTTGATTTCAACTTGACTTCGACGTTATTGACTCCTGAGTCCTGCAGAGGAACATCAGTATGGCAGTAGTAGTAATAATTGGCTATACAAAGTATACAAATAGCACACTGTATAGCACATTTCTTACATGCAGCAGGCATTCAAGAAAAAAATGTGTAATTTAAGTAATGGCGGGCATGTGCCCCAGTAAAGATTTATGTCTAGCAACATTCCTGACCTCGAGGCACCAGCCTCGCTCCCACTCGGTCTTAAAAAAAAAAAAGAAAAAATGCACCTTTTACAGGTGTTTCTGGTGGACCTTACCATGAGCATCCCATAAACCTGAACTGCTCGTCCCTGAGGGATGGAGACAGCTATCGCATCCGAACAGAAGCCGTCGTGGGGATGAACATCACTTTGTGCGATCAAGCATGGAGCAGAGAAGAGCAGGTGAGGGTCTGAGCTCCTTCAGTCCAGCAATGACTAGGCTAATAGAAACCACGGTTGTCCGTTTGGTTGCTCACGCTTCCTGGCTCGGATAATGTATCCTATTCATCTTGGTCTAGTTGAAAGTAATAGTGAGAACTGTAATGTATGTTCATTGTTTAGGCTAAATTACTAAATTACTGATTTCCATGTAGGCCATAACTGTCAAGTTTTGGATTTGAAAATAAGGGAAATTTCCCGGCGCCCGCCGCGAGCCACCCCACCACCCCAACCAAGCTCCAGTATCCCTTACATTTTAAGACAGGTG